TCATGCATCGATAATCTAGAATTAAGAATGAAACCAAGATTAGTTGCTTTGTCACTAAATTCTATTTTAACATCTTCTATTTTCACTGAATCAATATTAAGTTTCATCAGCTACGGCCATGTACCTATTGGAACAAATTTTGACTTCTGCTGAGTTAATCTAAGACCATTGTTTGACATCCAATTATCTATGTTATTCAGGCAGGTTACAAATTTGTTGATTTCAGATTGCAGCAATTCTGGCTTATTACTAACTATAATCTGTATATCATCAGCATAAGCATGATATTTAAAACCGAAATTACCAATTACTTTAAAAACTTCAGCGGTATACATGATAAAAAGAATAGGCCCAAGCACTGAACCTTGTGGCACTCCTGATGTCAAAACCGTTTCATTAGATAACACATTATTGAAAACTACTTGTTGCTTTCTGTCAAACAGATATGATCTGAACCACTTGATAACAGTACCGGAAATACCATAATCATGAACCAATTTTTCCAAGAGAATCTGATGGTCTACACAATCAAATGCCGCTTTCATATCTAAAAACACGACTAGAGCCTAGAGCCACATGTTGTTTGTCTAAAGCAGCAAACAACTCAGAAAACACATAAAGCAGTGCAATTTCTGTTGAATGATAGCGGCGATATCCAGATTGGTGAACTGGTAGCAGGTTGTTTACATTCAAATGATTCAAGAGCTGTTTGGCAACCACTCGTTCAAATATCTTGGAAATGAAACAGATGTTGGAAATTGGTCTATAACTAGACAAATCATTTCGATCCATATTCACTTTCTTTAAAACTGGATAAACCATAGCATGCTTACAACCATTAGGAAATGTGCCACTGCTCAGACACAGATTTAAGATGCTGGTAAGAAAAACGATGAATAAATCAATATATTTCTTTAAAATATGGGTTGAAAAGACATCTATCATACATGTTTTTGATGGCAAACTGAGTACAATTTTTTAACGTCAGATTCTGTTAAAAGCATAAAGTCAGGAAAAGAACAATTCCCATTGTACTGAGCTTGACAAATAGTCGGACAATTACTCACATTGGTAGACTGTTTAAGTTTATTTACTTTATCATTAAAAAACTTTAAAAATTGAGACGAATCTAAACCAAAAATTTCACTCAATGATTGACCAGTGACCTGATTACAAAAGACTTTATTAATAACATTTCATAGATTTTTAGAAGATCCACTATTGTCTGCAACAAGTCTTTTCCAATAACTGTTTCTTTTTTGTGAAAAAAGCCTAGATTTATTTTTCAGAGCTGCTATCCACTCATTTTTACATTTCTCTGTCTGATATTTTCTGTAATTCCTTTCTTTCTTTCGACAAAGTCTTTTGAAAGCTTTGCATTCACTATCATACCATGGAGCATTAACATCACATCTGACTTCTGCAAAACGAAGTGGAGCAACTGCATCAGCCAATTTCTTGAGTTCAGAACTCATCATATCAAACTCAATATTAATATTATTACTTTGGCAAGACCTTGATAATAGAGAAATCTGTACATATTTAATGAGATTGCTTTCATTTAGGTATTTCCAGGATCTAACTTGTTTTTTGACTATTTTAGGACGCTTATGAGTTAATGGTATATTAACCTGAATTAAACTATGGTCTGAAAAAGTCCCACTGGAAAAAATCTTAATATCTGAAATCTGAAAATCTTGAGAACAAATAATCAGATCAAGTATACCTCCATGTTCATGAGTCGGTTCGTCGATCAAATTTTTTAATTGAAACATTTCTAATATTTCCAACAAATTTACAGTATGACGATCTTCCTGTTTCTCAAGGTGAATGTTGAAATCACCCTAAAGTATGATATTTAAACTAAAATAAGTGATATTTTCTAGAAAACATAAAAATTCTTCAAAAAATAAATTATTAACTAATACTGATCCTGGCCTGTAGAGGGATATATATATATATATATATATATATATATATATATATATATATATATATAGTGCAAGTTGATTTTGCACTGATGATGAATCATTCGGAATCGAAATATGGCCTTATTTGCAGCATGAATTCGGAAAATAAGTTTATTTTGAATTTTAATAAACTAAACGTTCTCCAACAAACTTTAGTGAGAAAAATCGAAAAAACGAACTACAAACATATTAACGCCAAACATTCGGTAGAATTTATAGAATATATATATATATATATATATTAAATTTCACCGATTTATTATTATTAATAAGTCGGTGGAATTTAATACATAAACCAGCACACACACACACACACACACACACACACACACACACACACACACACACACACACACACACACACACACACACACACACACATTCTCTTGAGACTGCTGCATCTTTCTTTTAATATTACTGATTCTTGTCTATCTTGGTTTTCTTCTTATCTCTGTAATCGTTTTTCTTCTGTTGTTCTCAATAATTCTACTTCTAATTCCTCTACTCTTACTTTCGGGGTACCTCAGGGTTCTATCCTTGGCCCCCTTCTATTTATACTCTATACTTCTGAACTACCTCGTATTATTAATAACTTTTCTTTCACTAGTCAACTATATGCTGATGATTCTTACATTTATATTCTTTTCTTCCATCTAATCTCAATAGTGTTCTTCATAATTTATCTCTATGTCTTTCTTCAATTATCGCTTGGTCTGACTCTATGTGTCTTAAACTTAATCCTTCTAAGTTTGAATTAATTTGTTTTAATAAATCTAAACACTCTATTACTATTCCTCCAATTATCTTACCTGATTCTTAAACTCTTGATGTCTCTCATAAGTTTCGTAGTCTAGGTTTTACCTTTGATTCTACTATGTATCTCTCTTCTCAGATTAATTGTGTTGCTAGAAGCTCTTACTTTCATTTACGTAGAATAAAAAAAACTTTTGCCTTTTCTTGATGATCCTACTCTTCTCTTTCTTGTTACTTCGTTAGTCTTATCTAGGATGGATTGATTATTGTAACTCGCTCTACTATGGTCTTCCTGACTCTATACTCTATCTTTTAAGTAAAGCTTTTAACTCTGCTGTTCGTCTAGTTGCTCGTGCCCCTTTCTTTTCTCATATATCTCCATATCTTGTGTTCTTGCACTGGCTACCTATAAAATATAGAATATTTTTAAAATTTGCACGTTCATGTTCCAGTATAAAGAAATAAGTAACAGGAGAAATATGCTTTTTTGGTAATTTTGGAACGCTAGATTTGCAAACAGACCGACTAAAAATTTTTTTTTAGCTGAGATACTTTATGGAAGCCACGATTTTTGATAATATGGTTATCTTCTATATGCACAGCCAGATATATGAACTAAGAATGCATAAAAATGCGGCATAAACATCGTTTCTGACGGTGACTCGACAGAAGCGCTTATAAATCTTCTTCGATTCCAATTAAAATCGATTATTCTAAAATTGTTTTTCAGTCAACATTTGCACATATCTGCATTTATAACTTAATTTTTGTAAGATCTTATTTAGGCAGATGCTGCAAAGTTGATTATGTAGGTACTGAAGTTCCAGTATAAAGAAATAAGTAACAGGAGAAGTATGCTTTTTTGGTAAATGATAACCAAGATACGTTAAGTTCTATCCTACTTTATAACCGACTCACCAACACTCCAACCATTATCAACATATTACTATATTGCGTTATAAAACACATTACTTAAACATATTATCACAAACGATGTTGCCACCACCCTTGATGTGCATTCAATTCCCTTTATATAAAGCTGCCCGTTCCTTTATAAAAAAAAACAAGACCGTTTAATTACCACTCACATTTTGATTTTCAACAAACCTCTTCGCCCTTGTTTTTGCTTTCCCCGTTTTACTCTACATTGGTTTTCACCATCTACTCGTTTCCTACAAAATAAGAATTCCCACATATAAAATCAGTGAGTATAACTAACCCCATATTTCATCATAATCAAGGAAGATTACACTGTTGATCCTTTTTGAATTTCTAGAAAACTGCTCCTAACGTTTGGAATGAGTTGCCTCCGAAGGGCCTTACTTTAATACTACAATGTGCCTTACTTTAATAAAATTATTTTTCCAAATTGTCCACTCATTGAGACACTCATTCAAACAAACGGCCTAGCTGTGATTCTGAACATAAAAAATTAGATTAAAAAAACATCGAGGTCGCCATGCCTCAATCATAATAGCCATTCATATTTTGGATGTTTCAGTGCAAACTACAATAATGCAACGTCGTAACGTTAACTCGGCTCGTGCCCTAGCAAAAATGCTTGTACTGAAAATAAAAAACGGAAACTAGCATTACACAGCCTTATTCATAGGTATAATCTAGCAAAATACCTCGATGTTAATTACAGTGGTATTTTTGAACATTTATTTCATTTATATATGAACAGATGAAAAATCATTTTATTTTTTCAGCCTGTCATTCCCCAGGCTGTTGTTTAGTTAAGCAGATGAACTTTCAAAGTTTTGAAATAATTTTTTCTTTAGCGTATCATTTGAAAATATTAACAAAACTTAGTCGCATATATTAAAAAACAGTTATAAATGAAAATAAAGAAAACATTAAAATATTTTTTTAATCAAATTTTATACATAAATTAAAAACAAATATTTTGAAGACTCGTTCGTTTGCAAACTTTATTGATTACTGGAACAAACAGAATAAATATTAGACATTCCATTTTAGGTAAGTATTCAAAGCAAACTGGATAAACAAATAACGGGCAAAGTTGGTGTTAAATTTAAAAGAATTTAAAAAATTAAATAAATCAATCATTTAAATTTGATAACCTAATGCAGACATGATACCTATACCGAAATTTTTATGCAAATCTTCGAATGAATGGACTGGTTCTAATTCTGAAGAGCATTGTAAATTTTGATTGTCACAAAAATCGTCTCTACCTTTTTGATATTTTAGTTCTTCTTTGTCTAGAATTTGAGAAGACAAATTAAAACTTGTGTCTTTTTCTTTAGAAATCATATTATCTAATTGGTTTTGCAGTTCAATGATGGCCGATTTCATGAAATCATAGCTTGCACAAGTTAAAGCTTTCATCCATGACTCCATTTCTTCCTGACTATCAGCAGCCAAAATATAGGTTCTGGAAGAAACTCCAGGAAAAACTAACTCAAAAACATATCTGCCGGAACTTTCCAACATTTCAACCATGTATCCTTCTAAGACAATAACTCCTATTGGTTCAGAATCAAATCTTTTGTCGTAGTAAAATAATAAATTTCCAGTGAGGACAAACCATCGCCTTTGAAATGCTTTATTGACTTCCCCTCTTTTATTCAGGTAACCTGTGAACCAAAAAAAATTAGACTGAAACAAAATGTTGCTTATGAAATAATAATAATGCCATTTTCAATTATGTAATAATTTTTATTTATATTAATATCAACCAATCAATCAATTAGTTTATAAAGCGCTATTTCCGCGATGTTCAACAGCGCTCCTCAATGAATTTCTTGGGACTTGAGATTTGCTCTGAACCTCATAAGTGATGGAAAAGTCGTCAGAGAAGGAGGTTGAGAGTTCTAGAGAAAAGGGCCAGAAACAGAAAAAGCAGATTTAGCAAAAGAGTGTTTAACACGAGTTAAAAAAAAGTGAGAAAAAGAAGACGATCGTAAACAGGCGCGTTTAAGTTCAATTACTATATCTGATAAGTACTTAGGAAATAATTTAGATCGAGACTTATTCATTAATGTGCAAATTTTAAAAATATATTTTATAAGTAGCCAGTGCAAGAGAACAAGATATGGAGATATGTGAGAAAAGAAAGGGGCACGAGCAGCTGAGTTAAAAGCTTTACTTAAAGGAAAGAGTGTAGAATCAGGAAGACCATAGTAGAGCGAGTTACAATAATCAATCCTAGATAAGAATAAAGAAGTAACAAGAAGGAAAATAGTATTGTCAAGAAAAGGCAAAAGTTTTTAAATTCTACGTAGATGAAAGTAAGAACTTCTAGCAACACTATTAAAAGTATAATGATATTTGTTGCAATGCAGTAATTTTTTTACTCTCTAATCATGCAGCTTTCTCAAAAGCTAAGTTGCTCACAGGTTATTTTACGCTTATAATAAAACTTCCGTGCCCCAAAAGCGATACGCTACCAACACCACACATACATGACAATACACGTGCCGAATGCACGCGCAAGAAACGCATCACACTCATAGGATAGTCTTTGAGCTTCGGACAGATAGTATTCCAACCATGTCAACGCGTAGTAGCAGCGCAAAAGCAAACTGGGTGACTATTAATAGTAAGAGTTTTTTTATTAAATGGTTGTTTTATTAAACTATGACCAGTTGGGTAACATAATGCCATGTATTATGTAGCAGTCAAGCCAACTGATGCGAACTACAACTTAAAGTAAGAAAGATAAATGTCCAAGACATTTAAAACGTTTTAATTAAAAAATAGTCGTATAAGAAAAATTTTGGAAAATTTTTATAGCTAAAATATCAGAGTAATTACAAAAATGTTACAATGCACATTCGATCATATAGAAACTACTATTTATATTTTAAAATATAATTTATTAAACACCATTTGAACTATGAATAAAACTCATTATAATATGTATGTTATATATGCTAAGTAGTACAGAGGTGGACATGGGTTGGGTTAACCCATGGGTTGGGTTGGGTTGGGTTAACCCATGGGTTGGGTTGGGTTGGGTCCAAATTTTTTAAAGTTGTGTGGGTTGGGTTGAAATTTTCAAATTTTATTATAAATAATTTATTTCTGTATTTTTTTGTATTCTTAAACGAACATTTTAACTAGTTAATAATCGGTGTATTTTATATCGCTGTAATATTATTGTATCTTTAGTATTATTGTATATAGTATATTATTGGTCTATCGTTTCCACTTTCTTTTTGTGATTATTGAGTTGAGCAAAAAGTAACTTCTTTCCGATCGAGAAAATTAGTTTTATTTACAAGTATGGCAGAATCAGAAGAAATTCAGCGTCATTTGAGAGGTTTGTGTGATTTAAATTTGCTAAGTTTGCGAAAGTAAAAAATCTAATAAATTTCACATTAACATTTTTACATTTTTTATGTTTTATTCCTTTAAAGATTTAATTGTTATTTTTCATGATTTCAAATCTCTTCAGTCTTTACAGTTACACTTTACAGACATCAGAATTTTTTCTCAATTGCTCATTTTACTTATTTACTTATTTATTTTACTTTTAAATCATGTTTCATTTTCTTTCTTTTTTCTACCTAGAAATGGTTTATTTTTCAAATTTTAGTTGGGCGCTGTTGAAGTTTAGAAATCACATTCAATAGATAAATTTAATTGATTGATTGAACATACTTAAGTATTTAAATATTTATTCTTTCCAGAAAAAACAGGGTGGTATATATTAAAGTCTAGACCAAATTTTTTTCATATTTTCTTTCAAGCTGTCTTTGTATCAACGTACCGGGCCACTTTCCAGTCGATTTCCCGATGCCAGTTGACCAAAAAAGACCTGCTTGGGAGTTCTTGTGTCTGGGGTACGTATAACATAACGTATAAATATATCCAGCAAAACTGAGCTTGAAGCAAAAGTGATTCTATACCCACTGTGCACCACTTTTCCAGAAACATTGTGTCTGTGGCTTTGTCTTCCCACCTGATAACAGCAACCATACGCAGATACCTCATATGAAATTGGTCGAGCCTTCAAGTGTGACGACAGTAGAACGTCCAGGTTTCGTAGCCTTAGAGCAGTGAAGTGAGCAAAACTGCTCTGTATACCGCAATTTTGGTGGCCAGGGTAACTCCGTGATTTTCCTAAAGACTTCCGGTCAACATACCAAAAACAGCACTTGCTTTTGCAAGCCTCGCTGTAATATCGTCATGATAGTAGCACTGTTGGAGATATATCCGCCTAGATAACAAAATCTATCAACAAAAGTTAGACGTGAGGCGTTCGCCAACACATAAACCATTGCTTCCAACGAGACTGGGTAGCTCTGACGCAAGACCACAGTTTTTTCAAACTGACTGTAAGTCCAAATCTTTTAGCTGTTATATGGAAGTGGATGAACAGCGTCTGAACCTCGTCCTACGAGTGTGCAACCAGTGCACAATCATCAGCAAATAGCAGGCCGCGAACAATAAATATCTGTTTCTTGAACTTCGCTTGCAATCGTTTGATGTTAAAGACAGTCATATCTAAACGATAGCAGATTGATATCCCCTCATAACCGTGACGAAAGGCAACTCGGAGTATCAATGAAAAGTAGATGTTGAACAGCAATGAAGCTATAACACACCTTTGCTTTGTTTCTGAGACAGTTCACTATTTTCAATCAACTGGCTTTCATAACTTCATGGAAAAAACGAACAATGGTAACAAAAGATGGCGAGCAACCAATTTTCTACAAGCAGCGCCGAAGTGTTGACCTATCAATTGAACGAAAAGCCTTGGTCAAGCCAACAAAAGCAATATACAGCCCTCGTTGCTGCTCACGACACTTTTCTTGCAGTGAATATTACATCCATTGTCCTTCGTCAGGCTTTAAAACCACATTGACCTTCCGGAAAAATTTCTAGACCGTTGACATGTTTTGTCAGACGGCCAGCGAATATTTTCAGAGTGCCTTAGTTTTCATAATAATCAAATTTTACAATTTTTATAATTTATTGGTAATATTAATTCATTTTTTAAGATCTTATTTATTTGATTATTTTTAAATTATTTATTTAATAGACTGTCATAACATTTTCTCAATATATTTAGTTCTTTGTCTGGCGTCATGAGAATCGTAACGCTCAGAGGCCAGTGTCATTGACAGACCCCACCTTCCCCTGGTTGCTTCCATAAATAAACAAAATAACGATGTTGCATTCCCAGGTAAACATCATTCACCAATAAATATAACTTCAAAAAAATTTTATGAAATAATATATACTTTAAATTTTTAAGCACTTACAAAAATTCAGTTTTTTGTTTCAAACTTAAGCTATGACTATGCACTTTTGATATTTCCCCAGAGAATCCAAGGCATCTTCATTACAAGACAGCAGTTTTTCATGAATTTTTTTGTGATGCTTTTGTGCACATTGCGTGCAGCATAAAACTTAAATGCGAGAATACCCTGTGCAGCAATATTAAATATTCTGTGATTCATGTATAATCGTCTTAGACAACTTCAAGAGACTTCAGTGTTCTTTGAATAATACCATTGCTGCTATAACGGCTGGTTTTGAAAAAATCGCTAACACATATGATGAACAAAATAGGCAACATTAAGAAAACTATGAATGATTGTAAGAGCGGTCAGACCTTGGCCACAACCCTGCAGAGCAACTTACCAAGCTCAACACTAAATCACGCGAATGATCGTGACATGATTTTTGAAAATTTCAAAAGATAGTCTGGTGGCACAATGAATGATTACAGTTGTTTTGAAATGAAAATTGGATAAAATATTGACGGGGCGTCACGTCTTTTGCTCTCAATATAACCATGCAACAACCTGTCCAAAATTGAACTTGTTTTTACTGTCAACAGTTGCGTAGTCTTAGAGTTGTAAAAAAGTAATTGAACGAATCTACAATGTAAGTTCTTAAACATACATTTATCCACTCTCGACTCAAATACTGCACCGATCTTCTTTTTGGACTGTCAAACAAATCGATAAAAAAAAATTACAGTCCATTCAAAAAACCGCCTGCCCGAAACTAAAAAATTCAAAGATTCTTTTAAGTATAACTTTATACATACTAAACGGTGGGTTTGTTTGATTGTTTGTGAACAATCATAAATTATTTAAATTCTTCACACCATACTGACACATTATTCAGAAAATATAAACATGACACAAATTAAAAATTGTCCAGATTTAACAATCAATTAACCATATTAAACTATTCAACAAAGATGAATAAAATTTCCCATAATGTACCCCATTAATAAATTCATTAAATAAATCTGCTCCACAGAAGTCAAAAATCAGGTTTGTAAAATGTTGCTAATTGACTTGAAACCCCGTTGATTTATTAAAATATATAATTATTAGTGATTTTACAATAATTATACAAAAAATTTTCATTCGAAATAGTGCATCTGCACTGGTTAGATACAGCCAAAAATTTAGCTTAAGAAATTAATGAAACACTATTCCCAAGCAAATAATAGATGAATTGAACAGATAACCAAAAAAGAATGAACAAAATCAACGCAAAACTTAAAAATAATCCTGACCAATCTTATAAAAAGATTACACTAGCCATCAACCAATAGAAATCGCCCGTGAAAAGTTCACAAGTGGAAAATATCACGTACGAGCCATTCCGAGAAAAGCGAATGTATTCAATCATGCCGCGCCAACAAACTGACCAAAAATTAAAAAGTGATTTTTTTACGACAGAGCGTGTAAACTTTGTTAAAATAAATCTGCCTGCTGACAATTATGGTCATTATTGAATTAGCTAATCGATATTTTTTTATACGATCCAATTTTATTGGACGAACGAGACATCAGTTTGTGGTTTCTAAATGTTAAGGAAAGTAATTAATTTTATGTATAATGTACTAAGCACTATTCGACAAAAATATTCAAATAATAGATTGTAAAACTCGAGTTATCTATATATAACGTCTGCTAAACTAATAATGAATAAAACATTCAAAATAAATCTAAGTATTTTAAATCAGTTTAATCTGTTTACTTAAAATAAAATGGATAAATTATTACCGGGTCTGTTGATAGTTTTAATTCGTCTGAATCTGAAACGTCTGTAGGCAAAATAGAAAGCAGTTTTGAGGCTGATTCATAATTCAGCTACCATCAAAGAGAAGATGGTTCATCTCCGCTATCAAAATCATCAAGCGCTGGTGGTCCAATGAGGCAAAAACGTTTTTTGACAAACCGAAAACAATCTACCAATCGGGTTTTAAATGAAGATCAAATTCAAGAGTTACGTTTGAAAGTGAACAGCCGAGAAAGAAAAAGAATGCACGATTTGAATTCAGCATTAGACGCCTTGAGAGAAGTCATACCTTACTCTCGTGGACCGTCTGTAATAAAACTTTCCAAAATATCTACACTGACTATGGCAAGAAATTATATTGTGATGTTGACCAAATCACTTGAAGAAATAAGAAAAATATTGCCTGAACCACTTCGATCACAGTTTAATACGATTCCAACATATGACAACATCATGTCGTCAAATTTTGATTACGTATCCAATTTATTCATTCCAGCATATTATTCTGAATTGTTGCCAACTTCTTCACCTCTTTCATGTACAACATTGACAAAATCTTCACTACCAACCGAATCAACGCCAATGGTATTTGCTAACATATGTCCAGAATATTTTATTCGACCACCTAACAATATGAATACAAATTGCATGTACCTGCCAAGGCGAACAGAAACAGCAACATCGAGAAAAAAATCATAGTTACAAGACTGGCCTCCTCAAAAAGATAATAAAACAGAAACGCACTCTGCAAAGTGCTTTTGTATTCAGTGTCTCATTAAATAAAGCCATAATGCCTTTTGAAACATTATAGCGCTTATTAATGATTCATGGTATTGATTGTAGTTTTAAACTTTATATATTAGGCATTAACATTTTTTACTAATTTAGTTTCTTTTGCAGGCTGAACATATACAATTCAATATACATTAATTTAATAAAAGTTTATAATAACAAGGCAAGTGGCCAGTTGTTGAAAAAGCTCGGAAATATATGAAATGATAGTTCGCTTTGTTTATTTTTTATTATAAAAGTACTACTACATTTTTATGTTATTCTTTGGAATCGCTTATCGTTATATTTTACAACAAATCATTTTTTTTGCATTACTTATTTAAAAAAAATTAAAAGTTTTCAACATTCGTAAGAAAATATAATATTATTGAAAGTATATTAGATCACTGAAAACCAATTTATAACAAACTATTCAAAATTTTCGAAGCTTCTTACCATAACAGCGCAAATGCAATATTTCGAATGAAATTTTTTTTGTATAATTATTGTAACATCTACCCTTGGCTGATCATCAATACGGTTTTTACCTAAAACATACAACTACAGCACTACTAACAACAAACGCAATCAACAGTTTTGACCAAAATGACCAGCCTATTGACTGCATTTGATCTTACAAAAGCGTTTTAAACCGTCAATTATCTTACACCTACTAATTAATTCATTTCTTTACTCTTCCACAATCAATTATTAGTTGTACTTCAAACTATCTACACAGACGCTCCGTTTCTACAGAATTTTGACACCATTCACCAAAAAAAAAACGTATTGTCCACAGTGTGGATTCTAAACTGGTGTACCTTAAGGTTCTGCATTGCCTTATCTTCAAGCTTGTTCAACTAATATATCTCAAAAGCTCAACCACCTCCTATCATCAAAATATTATCCTATGCAGACGACTTTATCATCTACTCTCTGGACTAGATGCCAAAATTCTTACTTAATAAATTCAACAAACCTCCCAACACCACAGCTTTTTCAATTTTTGAACATTGAAAGTTTAAAAACTGTCTAATATTACTATCCTTCTCAAGTCAAAATCAACTATCAATTACTTCCGCTCAAACACAATTTACATTTGACACCATGCTCATTTTCGTAGCTCATCATAAAAATCAGCAACTGAAACAATTAAGTGTTATAACATCTCAGAAGCATTTTCTGACACATCATTCTGTCAAGATAAAAGAACAATACTTTTTACATAAAAAACTACCGGAAAAGACCAGTACTCGAATATGTATGCACAATCTGGTCCCCAATCAATTAAAAAAACCAATTTAACCCGCCTACAAGCTATAAAAAATGCTGCCCTTCGCACCAATACAGATTATCCCAATACTTCCGCCATTCAACACCTCATTCTGAAAGCCAAATGCCCAATGTTCAACAACATACAGACCTCTTCGCACCAATACAGATTATCACAATACTTTCACCATTTAACACTTCCATTCAGAAAGCCAAATGCCCAACGTTCAACAAAATACAGACCTCTTTTCCGTTCAATATTTTTTATAGCGCTACATCAACCGTGCCTATCATCTAATCAAAACTCAAACTCATCATCTTTGTAAAATGAAAGGAACACTTCATTTAAAATATTGCAACACAATAAGACAGTAATGCCTATAGATATCAACAATTCCTTCATAAAAATTTCGTTAAAACATCTGCATACAATAGTGGTTAGACTCCATTTATTCGTATCAAACATATAAAAAATCAGCAGCTGAAGCAATTAATTGTAATAACATGTCAGAAGCATTTTCTGACACATCATTCTGTCAAGACAAAGGAACACCACTTCTTACATACATAACTACCGGAAGAAACCAGTGCTCGAATATGCATGCACAATCAGGTCCCCCAATCAATTAAAAAACCAATTTAACTCGCTTACGAGCTATAAAAAACGTATCAAACAATGAAATAAACTTTTGAAAAAATCCTGTAGAGGTTGTAAGTTGGTTAGAGCCTCAGTTGTACCAATAAGCTGGTGTCAGGCATAGGACAATAGCCACCTGCACTAAATCAATTAAATTTCATAAATATTTAAATAAATTTTTTTCATTGTTATTCTTTAAAAAATCAGAATCTGACAGATGCAGAAACATGCAAAGCAATAGTATAAAATTGTAACGAAAAAAATTTATGAATAAATAATGAAAAAATGTGAATTCTAAGTGTATTCATGCTTAAAAAATAAACAACGTTTGAACGTTCAAGTCGTTACTGCTTCTGATAAACAACACATTTGTTGTATTTTATCTTGATCTTTAACAAAAATTGCATCAGCAAAATAACAGCGGCTTTAATGTGTTTATTAAATAAAACTCTAAAACCGAAACCGCCCAGAACCGCAAGTATAAAAACTGCAACCGCCGCGAATAAAACCGCAGTTGCGTATTGTACAGGGATGCAATCGTCGTCAACTTCAACATCAGCACAGTTAAACTATTTTTCAACGATAAATCTCTTCGCAGAAAAATTCAAAGAATCAAATAATTTCTCGTCAACAATAACTACCTAAACATACTTATTGACAACATCATATCAAAATCTCTAAAAAAAATTCTAACAACCATTTCCACACCCACAACAACAATCAATCTGTTACGAGTTCTTTTAAGTTATGACAAAAAGAATAACTACAACGTTTGGTTTTTTTATTATTAACTTTATTTAATTAACAGCAATATGGACGCAAAACAAAAATTAGTTTTTTTTAAACTCTAAAAATTAAAATATATATGGCCACACGTCCTTCGAATCACCTCTAACAAATCTAACTCCTAACTACCCGGTTCAACTATTCACCACCCTGAAACTAAAAAAACACTAAGCGCACAATTCTTGCTCGTCACATCCCTCCAACCCACGCGAGGCCGGTGGTTCCGTGCGGCAGTTCTGTATCCTTGGATCAACCTTCCCCACATCTGGACAACGTGTCAGCAACTACATTTTTCTTTCCTGACACATGTTGTAGTCTGTAGTAAAGTCCTGTAATAACATGCCCCATCTGGTAATCCTTGGATTGGATACTTTGTTGTTATGGATCATCTTAAGCGGTGCGTGATCTGACAACACCACAAATTCGCATCCCATCAAGTAACGTGAGAGCTTGGTTATAGTATATACAATAACTAGGGCTTCCTTTTCAATTGTTGCAAAATTATGTTCAGACGAAGACAATTTCCTGATGATGAAACACACGGGCATTAAAATGTCGTTGACCTTCTGTAATAACGCACCACCTATTGAATATGCTGATGCGTCACATGCAACGAAAAATGGTTTGTTGATATCCGGTATCTGAAGTACTATTTTTTTGCGAATAAACTTTTTAGGTTTGTTATACAATCTATCATCCTGTTGTTTGCTGTTATGTTGTTTGGTTCGTTTTTCTTGATTACCTGCAGCAACGGTTGTAGAAACTCTGTAAAATTCTTGCTTCCTTCTTTGTTTTCGGTACGGTAATATTCAATATTTTACTAATAGTATGCTGCACCGGTTTTACAGTGTTGTTTGCAATCACATGGCCCAGTAATTCTATTTCATAGCTGGCAATATTGAATTTACAAGGTTTCACTGTTAAAGTGTTTAAAGCAATTATTTTAAAAATTTCATCGAGTGCGATTACACGTTCTTGCCATGTTGCATGGAAAACACAAATGTCATCTGCAACACAATCAATAAATCAATCAATAATCAATCAATAATCAATCAATCAATCAATAATCAATCAATCAATCAATCAATCAATCAATCAATCAATCAATCAATCAATCAATCAATCAATCAATCAATCAATCAATCAATTAGCTTTTAAAGCGCTATTTCCGCGATGTTCAACAGCGCTCCTTAATGAATTTTGCAAACAGATGTGTCTTAAGATCCGCTCTGAACTTCGTAAGTGATGGAGAGGTAGTCAGAAAAGTAGGTAGAGAGTTCCAGAGAAAAAGGCCAGAAAAAGCAAAAGCAGATTCAGCAAAAGAATGTTTAACACGAGTTAAGAAGCGAGAACAAGAAAACGATCGTAAACCGGCCGTTTATGTTCAATTAATATATCTGATAAGTACCTAGGAAATAATTTAGATTGAGACTTATACATAAATGTGCAAATTTTAAAAATTATTCTATATTTTATAGAAAGCCAGTGCAAGAGAACAAGATATGGAGATATATGAAAAAAGAAAGGGGCACAAGCAACTAGACGAGCAGCAGATTTAAAAGCTTTGCTTAAAGGCTAGAGTATTGAATCAGGAAGACCATAGTAGAGCGAGTTACAATAATCAATCCTAAATAAGACTAACGAAGTAACAAGAAGGAAAAGAGTAGGATTATCAAGAAAAGGCAAAAGATTTTTTTATTCTACGTAGATGAAAGTAAAAACTTTTAGCAACTCTATTAATCTGAAGAGAAAGAGACATACTAGAATCAAAGATAAAGCCTAGACTACGAAACTTGTGAGAAACAACAAGAATCCACCTAAATTACAAAACCGCCATCAAGCTAAACGTAAACCTAAACCAGCAGCAACAAACAATACCAATATACTACAAAATCAAATGCACAACCACCAAATTGACGAAAAAAATTAAAGCATATCGTCTAATCAAATCTCACACTTTAGTTCAAAATTTTAAACTTTTTTCTCTGAGAGCCTTCGATCAAAGAGACTCTGTATTGAGAAATTTTTTTTAAATTTAAACCCATGAGGGTGATTTTAAAAATATTATGGTCAGACACGATCTGATACTTGAACAAAGGGTTGAATTAAATAAATTGTTGACTGATTCAAAATGCAAACAAACGACCCTTGTTTGTGCATTCTTTTAATTCTGTTTTTTAATAATTTTAACAATGTTACAAAATTGTTCCTCGTCATACAGTTACGTCGCGTCACATTCCATCATCACCATGGTTTGATGATGAATGTAGAGAACTGAAGCGAGAATGTCACAAATATGATCCAGCGTAGTTCTAGCATGGCACTTATTAATCGAGTAAACAAATTTATTCCGCCAAAGAAGTGATTATTGGAATAAGTTGATTTGTGCCCATGGAAAACTACCTAAAATACTATTAAAACTAGTCGACAATATTCTGTGGAAAGAGTCAATTTATGATTCAATGTCAAATGTCAATTTTTAGGCCGTACATTTTACAAATTCATTTTATTAATAAAATCGACAGTGTACGCCAGATGACTGCAGGCTTTGAGTTGCCAGTTATTGACTTTTGTCCATTTGATGATGAGCAAATTTTTTCGCATTTTTTGCTTTGCACTGTCGATGAAATAAAAAAGTTTTTGATGGAGTCACCAAATAAATCATGTCATCTTGATGTCATACCAACTAGAATATTTAAAAATTACATTGATCACTTTATCACATATTTAACTAATTTTTTCAATTTGTCCTTCACATGAAAAATTATAGACCCGCGTTCAGACTTACGTTTTTATCTAAGGTATTAGATGTTGCTGCTCGGCAGCTCAAACATCATTGTGTTTCAAACAATCTTATGCCGCTTGTCAATCGAGGTTCTGTCGTTTTCATTGTAAGGAGACTGCTCAGATAAATGTTACTTCGGATTTGTTTGCATCAATGGATGCAGAGCATGTTTCATTGTTGCCATTTTTAGACTTGAGCGCAGCATTTGACAGTGTCGATCATGCATTGTTGCTTTTGAAACTTCGCAGACGCATTGGTATACTGGGGGTTGCTGAGAAGTGGTTGAGTCGTATTTGTCGGGCCGTACTCAAAAAATTATTTTAAAGATGATTTGTCACATGTTCAAACAGTGTCATTTGGTGTCCGCAAGATTATGTCCTGGGACCACAATTATTTAATCTTTATATTTCATAGTAAAAAAAAAATACAAACTAAAATGTCATATTATTGATGACATTTTAATTTGTTGTAAGTAGTTGCGTTGCATCATTTCATGATTTGACAAATAAATTTGACTTATGATTGTCTGAAATACAAAAATATAAATGGATTGGTAGCCATAGGCTTAAATTCAGCCAGAGCAAGACTGTTAATCGACACGTTTCAACATAATTCTATGATCAATGTTGACGATTTTGATCTCTATTTTTTAGAGTGCGCTGGTAAATTTAGTGTCATAATTGATCTCAATATAACCATGCAACAACCTGTCCAAAATTAAACTTGTTTTTACTGTCAACAGTTGCGTAGTCTTAGAGTTGTAAAAAAGTAATTGAACGAATCTACAATGTAAGTTCTTAAACATACATTTATCCACTCTCGACTCAAATACTGCACCGATCTGTCAAACAAATCGATAAAAAAATTACAGCCCATTCAAAATACCGCCTGTCCGAAACTAAAAATTCAAAGATTCCTATAGGTATAACTTCGTACATACTAAACGGTGGGTTTGTTTGTTTGTTTGTGAACAATCATAAATTTTTTAAATTCTTCTCAACATGCTGACACATTATTCAGAAAATATAAACATGACACAAATTAAAAATTGTCCAGCTTTATCAATCAATTAACCATATTAAACTATTAACAAAGATGAATAAAATTTTCCATAATGTACCCCATTAATAAATTCATGAAATAAATCTGCTCCACAGAAGTCAAAAATCAGGTTTGTAAAATTTTGCTAATTGACATGAAACCCCGTTGATTTATTAAAATATATAATTATTAGTGATTTTACAATAATTATTCTGCGCTGGTTAGATAGGGCCAACAATTTAGCTTAAGAAATTAATAAAACACTATTCCCAAGCAAATAATAGATGAATTGAACCGAAAAACAAAAATGAATGAACATAATCAGCGCAAAACTTAAAAATAATCCTGACCAATCTTATAAAAAGATTACACTAGCCATTGACCAATAGAAATCGTCCGAGTGATTCCGAGAAAAATAGCGAATGTATTCAATCATGCCGCACCAACAAACTGACCATAAATTAAAAAGAAATTTTTTTACGACAGAGTGTGTAAACTTTGTTAAAATATGACATTTAAGGTCATTATTGAATTAACTAATCGATATTTTTATTATAAGATCCAATTTTATTAGACGAACGAGACATCAATTTGTGGTTTCTAAATGTTACAGAAAGTAATTAATTTTATGTATAATGTACTAAGCACTAATCGACAAAAATATTCAAATAATAGATTGTAAAACCCGAGTTATCTATATATAATGTCTGCTAAACTAATAATGAATAAAATATTCAAAATAAATCAAAGTATTTTAAATCAGTTTAATCTGTTTACCTGAAATAAAATGGATATATTACCGAATGCTGTAGGTAGTTTTAATTCGTCGCAATCTGTAGCGTCTGTAGGCAAAATAGAAAGCAGTTTTGAGGCTGATTCATCATTCAGCTACCATCAAAGAGTGGATGGTTCATCTCCGCTATCAAAATCATCGAGCGCTGGTGGTCCAATGAGGCAAAAACGTTTTTTGACCAACCGAAAACAACCTACCAATCGGGTTATAAATGAAGATCAAATTCAAGATTTACGTTTGAAAGTGAACAGCCGAGAAAGAAAAAGAATGCACGATTTGAAATCAGCATTAGACGCCTTGAGAGAAGTCATACCTTACTCTCGGGGACCGTCTGTAATAAAACTTTCCAAAATATCTACACTGACTATGGCAAGAAATTATATTGTGATGTTGACCAAATCACTTGAAGAAATGAGAAAAATGTTGCCTGAACCACTTCGATGATCGATCACAGTTTAATACGATTCCAACATATGACATCATTTCGTCAAATTTTGATTACGGATCCAATTTATTCATTCCAGCATATTCTTCTGAATTAATGCCAACTTCTTCACCTTTTTCAAGTACAACATTGACAAAATCTTCACTACCAACCGAATCAACGCCGATGGCATTTGCTAACGGATGTCCAGAATATTTTATTCGACCACCTAAAAATATGAATACAAATTGCATGTAACTGCCAATGCGAACAGAAACAGCAACATCGAGAAAAAAATCATCCTTACAAGATTCGCCGTCCGTAAGGTCGTCTCCTCAAAAAGATAATAAAACGGAAGCGAACACTGCGAAGTGCTTTTGTATTCAGTGTCTCATAAAATAAAGCCATAATGCGTTTTGAAATAAAATGGCACTTATTAATGATTCATGGTATTGATTGTAGTTTTAAACTTTATATTAACATTAAAATTAATAGAATATTACTAAATAATACTACTAATATTATTAATAGAATAAATATTAATATTACGCATTAACATTTTTTCTAATTTGGATTTTTTTGCAGGTTGAACATATACAATTCAATATACATTAATTTAATAAAACTTTAAAATAACAAGGCATGTGGCCAGTTGAAAAACCTCGGAAATATATGAAATGATCGCTCGCATTATTTTTTGCTATGAAAAGTACTACTACATTCTTACATATGTTATTCTTTGGAATCTCTTATCGTTATATTTAACGTCAAATCATTTTTTTGCTTTACTTATTTTATAAGAATTAAAAATTTTCAACATTCGTAAGAAAATACAATATTGTTGAAAGTATATTAGATCACTGAAAACCAATTTATAACAAATCAATCAAAGTTTTCTAAGCTTCTTACCATAACAGCACATCTACCCATGGCTGATCATCAATACGGTTTTCGACTAAAACAGCACTACAACCCATGAACGTAATCAACGGTTTTAACCAAAAAGACCAGTCTATCGAATAATCATGGCTGCATTTGATCATACTAAATCGTTTTAAACCATCAATTATAATAATCAATCCTAAATAAGACTAACAAAGTAACAAAAAGGAGAAGAGTAGGATCATCAAGAAAAGGTAAAAGTTTACAAAGTAGTTCAGACGTATAGGTGGGGGCCCAGTTTAGAACCCCGAGGCACCCCGAAAGTAGGAGTAGAGGAGTTAGAATTAAAATTATTGAGAACAACAGAAGAAAAACATTACAGAGATAAGAAAAAAACCAAAATAAACAAGAATCAGTAATATTAAAAGAAAGATCTAACAGCTTTAAGAAAATAATATGATCAACAGTATCAAAGGCAGAGGAAAAGTCATGAGCAAAAAGAAGACTAAGATTACTATTGTCACTAGAGAGAAGGATATCATTGTGTATTTTGAGTAAAGAAGTTTAAGTACTGTGAGCAGGTCTGAAAACTGATTGAGATACAGGTAGCAAGGAGATAGAGTTTAAATAAGATGACAATTGATTATAAACTACTTTTTCTATTATTTTAGAGATGAAAGTAATATTAGTAACAGGTCTATAATTAGATAAAGAGGTAGGATCTAAGGATGAGTTTTTAAGAATAGGAATAACAATAGAATTCTTATAAAAAGTAGAAAATTAGGAGGTGGAAAGAGATAAATTAACTAATTTGAGAATGATAGGATAAAATATTGAAGAAAATTCTTCAAGTAAATTAGAAGGAAGTAGATCTAGAGACCAGGTTATAAACGACATAGAATTAATAATTTTAGTGAGTTCTAGAAGATTTATTGCAGTAAATACAGAAAAACATTCAGTAGTAAGTTTAGTAATGTTATGAGGAAAAAAATTAGAATTAGATGTTCTTAAAGAAGTAATTTTATTTACAAAAGTCATGAATCTTTTGAGCAGAAAAAGATGAGCAGATGTTACAGAATTTCTAAAAAAAAGTATAGTGTTCAAAGAATAGTAGATATTTATAATTAATTAATTCAGATTCATAGATAGAATTAAAAGGGTTAGATGTCAGATGGATAGATCCATAGAGTCAGATGGATAGATCAGAAAATAAGGTAGTATCAAAAATAGTTTTAGAAAGAGATTGAAGAAAAGTATTATTATTAAGAGAAGGCGAGCATCTTTTCAAAATTCGCCACCGAACTACTTACTTCAGAGACAAAGGAGGCTTAAGAGAAAGTCTCTAGAATAAGACATAATAATATTTACATGTTATAGGAAAAGATATAGAAAAAATAGTCATAGTAAAAAAAGAAGAGAACTTACTTGTTCAGAAGCAAAAAACAAGAATCCACCAAAATTACAAAACCACCAAGAAAACGTACCGCCATCACACTAAACGTAAACCTAAACCAGCAGCAACAAACAATACAAATATACTACAAAAATCAAATGAACAACCACCATATTGACAAAAAACGCAAAAGCATATTGTCAAATCAATTCTCACAGCTTTGGTTTCAAAATGTTAAACAAAAGTTGTTTAAAAAAAAGAGAAAAAACTTGTAGGAAATGATAAAGTATTTTTATTATTAACTTAATTAATAATATCAACAGACACACAGCAAACAAAAATTTACCATTCTTTTAGATTTAGTTAGTTAGTTGTGCATTTATTTTATCAGTTTATCTGATCATTTTATAAAATTTGTTTAAAAAACTAAGATTTAAGATTTGGTTCAAGAACAAATTTAATATCAATTTACTGCAGAGGTAAATACTTTCATATTATTTTTTATATGCAGCGTTAGTTACAGCGGACCTAGACTTGTACAAATAAAAATAAATAAAATAAACAAAAACGCAAGATAGATCATGAAAAATAATAATAAAGGTAACTTTTAAAATTTGTAATAAATAAATTGAATCAGACAAACAAACCCTGCTTATTTACGATAGACGATGACGCAAACAGCGAAAGATGCTTTTCGTTCAATTTCATGCCTAACGTAAAAACGGAGACCAGACAAAATATCCAGTTTATTTATGTTTTATAATATGTTTATTACTGCTGAGTATATAATAATAATCGATAATATAGTATATATGGTAAGCACTATTTAGAAGGTGCAGGTAAATTGGCTGATAACGTGGGCATTTAAAAAAATCACTCTGACACACATTCTGACTGGAGGTCTACATGGAAAATTTCCCGCAAATACCCGCGGGAAAACTGCGGGTTGGGAACAGAAGTTGGATGAAAACCCGCGGGTCGGAAATGAAAAGCGAGGGAAAACCGCGGGGCGGATATTTTTCGTGCGGGAAGTACTGCGGGACGGGAAAAATTTTAGAAGAAAAACTGCGGTTGACTTGATTTTGATGGCAAAGTTCCAAAAATGTGGAAAATTAATGAGAAAACTTCATAGCTTGAACAGCAACGCAATTAAAAAAGTTAGATTATTATTACTAAGTTTAAAGCTAAGCAAGCTCACAGATGCATATGCATTACGCTAAATAATATTCATTGTGACAACACGAAAGGACACGTGACCAATGATATTAAGTAGGCAGCTTGAATAAAGAATCTGTCTTTATCAGCTGTTTACACAGATAAATACGTGCTCTGCGAGTTCTATTTTCATTTTGTTTTTATTTCGACGACGACCTCGTGTTAGCAGTTTGGTAAATATGGACAAATCGGCAGTCAACAAGTTAATATCTTCCGAAAGTCAGCGAATAACGTATTTGGTAAATCAGAGTACGCACAGTAAGGTGTGGGAGAATTTTGTCATGGTGTATGTGGACCAAACGTTTTGTGGTTAACTGAAATGCCTGAAACGTGATGCACTTCTGGAATGGAAAAAGCGAGATGGTACTAGTGGTTAATGAATCATACCAAAGCATGCCTCAAAACAACCGAATGTCTTAATAATTTTTAGTAATTTATTTAATGATAATTTCAATGCATCACATTACCCTTACCAATGTGTAATAAGTAATAATACAATTAGTATAGTAAATAAAAATTGTAAGCTTGTTCTATAAGAAGTTATTTTTTTAATGTAGTTGCCCAGAACCGAAAACTAGCGGAAATGGGATTTGGCTTGCCAAGCTCTAACTCTGTCCCGGCTTCAATTAAATCTGAAATGGCTGATGAATTAGCAACTATGTGTGCAGTAGATATCCGACCATTTACAACAGTTGAAGGTCAAGAATTTAGATCTGTTGCAAGAAAATTGCTTTCAATAGGAGCAACATATAAAAATGTTTCATTAGAAGATGTTTTTCCAGTTGCAAACACAGTTTCGAGACATAGTGAGATGCAGTACGACATGAAAAAAGAAAAGCTACTGAACACTCTCACAAGTGTGAAGTCATTTGGAGTGACAACTGATTTATGGACATACGAAAACCGAAGTGTATAATTTTTGGGCGTCACTATACACTATATTGAAAACTGGGTTTTAAAATCCTGCACTATCACAAACGCAAAATGGATGATTCTCACACGGGTGTGAACATTAAAGCCATGGTAAAAGATATACTTGAAGAATTTGAGTGCAGTCGACCAACAAATATCTTTGTCATAGATAATGCTTCTAATATGAAGAATGCATTTTCTGAAGACAATTGGTTAGGGTGTACTGGGCACAATATAAATCTGGTCTTAAGCAATACATTCACAGACAAGGAAAAGGAAAGCTTATCGCCAAAGATAAGAAAATTACTTGAAACTGTGAAACAATTAGTTACGTTAATAAAGAGAACAAAGTTAAATAGAAAGCTGAAGACTTCATTGAAACAGTCAGTGCCTACAAGATGGAACAGCATTTTAACTATGTTGAATTCAGTGCAAGTAAATATGGCAGAGCTGAAGTCATTAGTCACTGAAACTGCAAATCGAAATGTAGCGCGATGTATTTTAGACATAAATGGGCCACTATTGGAAAACCTTATCTCAGTATTATCACCGTTTGATGTTGCTACTAAAGTTCTATCAAGCAGTAGTAAGCCAACGATACAGTTAGTACTTCCAACA